TGACCGAATCACAGTGGCTGCCGATAAATAATTTGAGCCTTCAGGCACAACAGGAACGAGGTGTATTTGAATTAGCGCGCCGAAATTGGATTAGACGCCCGCAAGTTGCATTTCAGTCAATGGAAACAATTTTGAACAGCTTTTATAAGTAAGGGAACTGTTAAACAGTATTATTTTAATATCTCGATTTCTGTAGGACTTTTTTTGAGAAATATACTTCTTTCGTAACAGTGCATATGTGGTTAAAATTTGTTGGATAAGTTGTTAAACACCCTGTATAATTACAAGTTTATATTGTCACCCTGAAAATAACTTCCTTCTGACGCCATACAGCGCTGGAGGCGGTTCTTCCACTCCTCATGGCAGTGCTGGAACTCCGATACTGGTATAGCCTTCAGCTGGTCGGTCACAGCCATTAGAACGTTTTCGACAGTCCCAAAATGAGTTCTCTTGAGGCGGGGAAAGAAAAAAGTAACATGGACTCAAGTCAGGCGACTGAGAGAAGGATGAGGAGCCACAGGAACAGTGCTGTCACAAAATGCCTTAAACCACCCAAAAAACCTGTGACCAAATCTGATGCAGAACCTGATAGCACGCCGTTTCACATAAAAAAATCGCCAAATAACTCGAGCGAGTTCAAACTTGTACTGAAGACGGATCACATGTTTTCCTGTCTCCGTACCTCGTATGTTGCCATTGAAAGAAAAACGATAGAGTTAGGTAGAATTACCCGACAATTTCCATTCAATAGTTAGCACTTCCCACGTATCTAAGTGACATATAAATCCGAACACCCAGTTTAAATGGTTTTATTTAATAAAAGTTGGTGAATGTATTTATCTTACTGTAAATAACAAGTGAAAAAATTTTCAGCCTTATCAGTTGGACATTCCGGTTTTTATAATGCTTTTTTTAATTCACTAACGCTCTAAAAATGAATATTGCAGCCGCAGTAAAGAATCAACGTTGGCGGATTTTGGTTCTTGACATCCTTTACGATCGGTTACGATGCCTAGAGTACGGACACCTGTACGATTTCGTCAACTTACTGAGTTTAATAGGGGCCATATAGTGGGACTTCGGGAAGCTGGTCTTTCTTTTCGGACAATTGCAGTTAGAGTGCAAAGAAGTGTAGACACTGTGGTTAGGTGTTGTCAGGCATGGCTTCGAGAAGGCCGTACGCAAAGAGCAGGGGGCACTGGACGTCGCCGTAGAACAACTGACCGTGAAGATCGCCGCCTAAGATTATTGGCATTAAGGGACCGTTTCTCCACTACCAGGTCCATTGCAAATGAATGGTTTGCAGAACACGGAAGACCTATTGGCATGCGAAGTGTTTACCGACGAATGAGAAGTTTTGGCTTGTTTTTCATACCGGCCACACTGGGTCCTCCCTTTAACTCGAGAACACCGACGTAATCGCCTTGAGTGGTGCAGACAACGGTAACTCTGGGATCAGGAATGGAACAGTATTGTCTTTAGTGACGAGTCTCGATTTTGTTTAGGCATGCACGATGGTCGTGCCAGGGTTAGAAGGCGACGTGGTGAAAGGAGGAATCCACAGTTTTTTGTTGAAAGACATGTTCATCACACTGTTGGAGTTATGGTTTGGGGTGCTATAGCTTATGGTTCCAGGTCACCTTTAATCTTCATCAGAGGTAACATGAACGCGCAACGTTATATCCACGAAGTTCTAGAACCCCATCTTTTACCCTATCTTGACACCATGGCAGATCCAACTTTCCAACAAGATAATGCCCGACCACATGTTGCAAGAGTCACAATAGACTTCTTTCAACATAATGATGTCACATTGTTACCATGGCCACCAAGATCTCCCGACTTATCCCCACTTGAGTACGTGTGGGATATGATGGGTAGGAAATTGCTCAATTTGCAACGTCCTCCTCAGACTCTAGAAGCACTTCGAGAGGAGTTGGTGATTGCCTGGAATGAGATACCACAGGAGGACATTGACCACCTGATCAGAAGCATGCCCAGGCGCGTTGGAGAATGCGTAGCACATCAGGGTGCATCCACACATTATTAAAGGTCAAAGGGCTTTAAAGCAGTGCAATCATTTTGAAATGTTTATCATTTACTTATTATGCTTCATTAAGTACTTATACAAAATTTTATTAAAATAAAACCATTTAAACTGTGTGTTCGGATTTATATGTCACTTAGTATATATCATTTGTTTACGCGGAGGAATATTTCAGTAAGTCTTTGACCATAACTTGAGTGAAAAAATGAAAAACCAATGTTTTGTTACATCGTTTTTGCAATAACGTTGAGCAATTCTGGCACAACTTTCCAAGCATTTATCGATTTCTTAATTACCATTGAGTACTTTTGAAAAAAGGTTGATTTCACAGAAATGTGCGCTCCATAAAGGTTCAGTGTTTCACTATCTTACCTAACTCAAATTCGGATTTCTTAATTAAAGCATAAAAATATTTTCATTCGCAACAAATTTCGCACATATGTTGCTTGGACTATAAAGCTTCTAACTGTATTCAACTCTCTTATCCGGGTTAAGCGAATAAACACCAGCACTTGCAATATGGTGAGCGCAATCTGATGTGCTTTGATGTGCTGATTGTTGAGAGGAATTCGGAAAATTAATGTTTTTCTGTTAGCTTTGTTGATTGTAGATAACGATGCATAAAATCTATGCGGAGTATATTAGTTGTAATTTGCGGTGAATGGATCAGAAATGTGGTGGTTTGTTATTAGAAAATGAACAGTTATGGAAAATGTATCGAAAATCAAAGTTTTTGGTCTTTTTACCTATATTTTTACTGCTCACATATAGACATACTACACAAAAGAATCACCAAAGAATACTGGATATTAGCCTAATCCGTTTTGATAGTATCAGTTTATAAAGGTGTGATTATAAAAGAACAGCTTTTCACCATCGGTAACGGAAAATAAAAAACATGGAAAAATCTCGTTGCAACTCCAATGGATTCTGCTGCAAGACTTTCTACTTAAAATCTATAATAAAATACGGAGGCACAAAAAATAAATAAAAGTTAAAGCCTTATTATAATTGACGATTGATTTGTTTCAAATTTTGTTTTTATTGTGAAAATAGAGAAGCAACACTTTTATTCTCATATATTTTTGTATATTACCTTTTTGAAGTAGACCATGCGCTCATATAAAAATACCAAGTTGAATATTCGAAAATGGGTAATTTTTGGACAATCAAGCACTAAAATAAAAAGAAAAATGTTGATGGCATTTCAAAAAAATGTATTCTGAAATATTGAAATGCATGAATTTAATTAATTTCATCA